TCCCCCGCCCCAACCACCCTACCATCGGTGGCCGACCACTCAGCCCCGAGCCTCTGGAACTCTATCCCCCAGTGCCTTCGCCTTGCTTCCTCCCTTTCCTTCTTCAAGGCCGGTCTCAAGACCTTTCTCTTTGACCGTGCCTTCAGCTCCCCTCTCGACTCTCTACCCCCTCCTCGCTCCCTCCCTTCCCTCCCCTCACCCTGACCATTTCCCCCCTGCTCGGGTCCTGACCCAACTGTACAGTGCCTTGGGACGTCCTCCCGACGTGAAAGGCGCTCTATAAATGGAATCTTGTTGTTGTTGTTGTATCTATCTATCTATCTATCTATCTATCTATCTATCTATCTATCTATCTATCTATCTGTCTGTCTGTCTGTCTGTCTGTCTGTCTGTCTGTCTGTCTGTCTGTTTGTGGAGTCCTGTAGTTCAGTGGTTAGAGCACTCAGCATGCAAGTGAGAGCACCTGGGCTTGATTCCCGGGCAGGATGAAACGTTGGGCAAGTTTCCTTATTCCACACGCCTGTGTTTATCCAGCAGTAAGTAGGAACCCAGTTGTTAGTCGATTGATGGATCGCTTTTCCGGGGGTAATTATCCCTTCAAAATAAATAATTTGGTCACTCAATCCACGACTGTTTGTGGGATACTGCTGCGTGCAATTGACTGCCATATTTCGCCCACAAAATAGCGAAAACAGTCGTGGATTGAAGTGGCTAATTTGTTTTTTTTCTTGAGAGATTATTATCGGGCATGTGGAGTAAAGAAACATACCCACATTTTACCCTGCCTGGAATCGAACCCAGGTCTCTTGCTGGTGAGGCGAATGTGCTAGCCACTAAGCTAGGACTCATTTGCAAGTTTGCTGACCTGGACAACTGTTCTCCTTTTGAATAGGGTCATGGTATCCTTATCATCCATCTCAACAGGCAGAAAAGGCCTTGACATCACATCCCCAAAATTTGAAGAGATGTAAAGGTGAAAACAAGGATCTTGAACTTGATCTGCTAGGTGATGGGGAGGCAATGGAGCCAAGCAAGGATGCGGGTCATAGGCTAAAGGAAACAGGTGTAAAGGACACGGCTGTATAATTCTGGCTATTCTGCAGATTTTGTACTGCTTCTCACTCCATCACGATACTTGTTTATAATGATGATATACTTTGCTGTGCATGCAATCATAACCATTTTCATCAGTGCTTGTGTTGACTGATAACTAAGACTTTCACGATAATTGTGTCAATGTATCCACTTTCACCATCTTGCACTTTGTGGTCACTTAAAAGCTCATCCTGACTGGCTTAAATCGAACTTAATGGTCTATTGGCAGATCTGGCTGGACCTTATCAAATCCTACCGCTCCTCCCTCGCCTCCACTAAATCTTCGTTCTACTCCAAGACAATCTTGGAGGCCAAGAACACCCACAGACTCCTCTGTTCCTCCACCCACCCTCTTATGCCTTACCCATCCTCACTTCCAATGCCACCTGCGAGGTGACCGTGGACTCCCTCGAATCCATAGTTGAGGGGATCCACTCAGCTGCCTCTGCCCTTCTGTCTTCTACACCCTCCCCATCTCCTCCACCCACCCCGGCCCTTACCTATCCCTCCTTCCACACCTTCGAACCTGTCTCCCCCTCCTCTTTCACCACCACTATAACCCACATGAAACCGACCACCTGCTCCCTCGACCCCATCCCTACCCCTCTCCTGACCTCCCAGCTCCACCTTCTTGCCCCTCTACTCACAGACATAATAAACCCCCCCTATCAACTAGTACTGTTCCCACCCCATTAAAAACAGCCATCATCACTCCTGTCCTCAAAAACCCTCCCTGAAGCCATCTGTGCTCTCAAACAACTGCCCCATCTCCAACTTCCCCTTCCTATCCAAGATCCTGGAATGAGTTGTTGCTTCCCAGCTTCACTCCTTCCTCTCCCGCCACTCCCTTCACGAACACCTCCAATCGGGTTTCCATGCCGCCCACAGCACAGAAACAGCCCTGGTCAAAGTGACAAATGACATTCTGTCCATCTGCGACCAGGGATCCCTCTGCCTCCTCGTCCTCCTTGACCTTTCTGCTGCCTTCGATATCATTGACCATCCACTGTCTCTCCTCTCACCTCAACCTTCACGGTTCGGTCTTTGACTGGTTCAGGTCGTACCTCTCACACCGCCTCCAATTCATCTCCACAAACGGTTTCTCCTCTAGCTCCCGGACTGTCTTGTGCGGCGTTCCTCAGGGCTCTGTCCTTGTTCCCCTCCTCTTCAATATCTATATGATCCATCTTGGTGACATCATCTGCAGACATGGGATTAACCTCCACATGTATGTGGATTACACTCAACCTACCCGCCTGTCAGACATCAAGTCCTGGATGAGAGCTAATTTTCTTCAGTTGAACATCAACAAGACCGAGGCTCTCCTGATTGGCTCCCGTTAGAGCCTTCTCACCTCAGGCGCTGACAGCATCACCATCCATGGTTGCACACTCCACTTTACTAAGCCGGTCCGGAATCTTGTTTAACCCTTAACTATCTTTTCTACTCCACATCCGTGCTATGACTCGCTCTGCCTTCCCCCACCTCCGCAACATTGCAGGCCGCTGAAACCCTCATACACACATTCATTACATCGCGGCTTGACTATGCAAACTTATTGCTTGTCAGCCTCCCCAACTCCTCCCTCCATAGGCTGCAGATCATCCAGAACTCTGCAGCCCATGTCCTTTCCTGTACCAAGCTCCGTGATCCTATCACCCCCATCCTTGCCCGACTCCACTGACTTCCCATCACACAGGATACAGTTCAAGATCTTGGTCCTCACCTTCAAAGCCCTCCATGGTCTTACTCCCCCCTGACCATCCTGCCCACTCCCTCCGCTCAACGGGCTCCGGCCTGCTTCACTTCCCCCGCCTCGCCCACCCCACTATTGGCGGACGGGTGTTCCTCCACTCTAGCCCCACCCTCTGGAACGCCATCCTGCAGTCCTTCCACCTCATCCTCTCCCTTGTCTCCTTCAAGAGCGATCTCAAGACCCTCCAATAGGCAAAACAGAAGTGCTAAGAAAATAATGACATCCTGTCCTGTGATTGTTCAGCCACCAGACTTACTGCCTGATTTCAGAATAGCTCCTGTAATGGCTATAAGAGCTAATTTTTTNCAATTGAAGGTCAACAATGTAATGGCTCAATGGAAGAAAATCCTCCCAGTATGTTCTCAAAGGTCACTGTGTTGACAACAGCTCTGTGACATAACAACGCTTGGCACTGGATTGTGATCTCCCAATGGCAGGTTCTTGGTTTCAGCCAAGCTATCAGGAGAGAAAGCAAACAATGACTGCGGCCACTTCCTTATACCTCCCAGCAGATGAACATGGACACATTGAGGTTCAGATCTACAGGGTATACACCAAGTCCTCTTACTCCCCCCCATGATTTTTTCTTACAATTAATTTTTTATTTTCCGTTAAAGATGAGTTCAGTGTAACAATGTCTGAGACCAATAACTTTCTCGTCACTCTGTCCATCAATGTTACAGAAGATATCGCACCAAACATGGCGATGGAACATTATCTGCCATGAAAATGGACGTCTAAATACAGTTAAACACTTGTATTGAATACAATCTCTTCCTCCAGGGACAGAAGCTGTATGATTGGGGAATATAAATACTGCAGTCGGTCTTGATGCTCCCAGGTAAAGGAGGGCAAAGTTCAGCCAGGGTCCTAATCCTCTGTTTAACTAGCAGTAAGTATGAACGTGATTGTTAATCAATTGGAGCATCGCTTTCCGGGGGCAATAATCCCTTCAAAATAATAATAATGTGGTCTCTCAATCCGCGACTGTTTGTGGGACACAAACGCAGTTGGCTGCCATTTTTCATCCACAAAACACAGTCATTACACTTTACAGTATATTCTGTGAAGTGCTTTGAAACGTCTCAACTATGTGATAAGGCGCTATATCAAATACAAGGATTATTAATATTATTATTATTATTATCGCTGTACAGGAACTCCGGCTAGAGTGCAGGTGTACGTGCGGATGTCAGGCTTGGCCCGAATCGGGCTCGCCTGCGGTGAATTAACCACCGGCCCCCTCACCAACAGAGAGCCGGGTGAAGAATGATTACTTGGCCGGGGGGATACTCCACAGAGAGCAATGGCTAACCGCGCAACTGGGGAACACTGCCGAGTGCTGCATCGCTACTGCATTGGCAGCTCACTGAACTGAGCCAATGGCATTGAAAACCAAGCAGGTAAACACAGAGTCCCTGGGGGGGGGCATATTGCCTCTGTAAGTGGTAGTGGAACTGCAGTGTCCCAGAGTGCATGTGCAGACATTGGCTCTGCAGTCTGCTCTTTGATAGAGGGAATGAGTAAGGGAGGGAGGGATAGAGAGAGAGAGAGGGAGGGAGGGATAGAGAGATAGAGAGCGAGAAAGAGAGAGAGAGAGGGAGGGAGGGAGGGATAGAGAGAGAGAAAGAGAGAGAGGGAGGGAGGGAGGGATAGAGAGAGAGAAAGAGAGAGAGGGAGGGAGGGAGGGATAGAGAGAGAGAGAGGGAGGGAGGGATAGAGAGAGAGAAAGAGAGGGAGGGAGGGAGGGATAGAGAGAAAGAGAGAGAGGGAGGGAGGGATAGAGGGATAGAGAGAGAAAGAGAGAGAGGGAGGGAGGGATAGAGGGATAGAGAGAGAGAGAGAGGGAGGGAGGGATAGAGAGAGAGAGAGAGGGAGGGAGGGATAGAGAGAGAGAGAGAGGGAGGGAGGGATAGAGGGATAGAGAGAGAGAGAGAGAGGGAGGGAGGGAGGGAGGGAGAGGAGAGGGTATACACTGACAGCACGTAAAGCGATTGCAGCTCTGCAGCACTCGTGAAAGTGATCTTCCCTAATACAGTGTCGGTGGGGGCTGTGCCTGGCGCTCGGATGCCCTATAAATGCGCTGCGTGCGGGGCGCTCCGGCTTTTGTTTTGCCGGAGCGGAGCGACACCCGCAGCGGCAACAGCAGCAACAGCAGCAGCAACAGCAGCAGCGGCAGCTTTAGCGGAGTGTCAGGATGCCCCGAGTGGACGCCGATCTCAAGCTGGACTTCAAAGATGTTCTGGTGCGACCCAAGAGGAGCAGCTTGAAAAGCAGATCGGAGGTGAGAGGCGCAGACCCCAATGCACTGGGGGGTGAACGTGCGAGAAGTTGTCCATCCAGATCTGCCTCTATCTCCACTCTCAGCTCATCTCTACCTTTATTCGACTCTCTCTCTCTCTCCCTCCCTCTCCCTCTCTCTGTCTGTCTCTGCATGATCTGAATCTTGCTCTGGGGGCTGCTCTGATCTCTCACGAAGTATATGCAATGACAAAAGTTAATGATACCAGTCTGGTTTTTTTTTCCCCCCCACCCCCTCCCCCTCACTGCTTGGCTGGTTGGTAGCTTGGAAACGAGTCCAGGGGACTAGGGGGAAGGTCAAGGCAAAGCAACTTGACACCCCCAACAGCAATAAATAGCCCCTGAGATTTCCTTGATGAACTTTGGTAAACGGACTGGATTCGACGCAGCGTTTACTCTCACCCGTGCCCCTCCGCCCGCAGTTTCCATTTCCGTGGGTGCCAGCCTTCTTATTCGCTTCTGGCAAATAATAACCTTCGAACGTTTCTTCTAATCGAATCCAAAATTAGAATTTGGTCGCTCAATCCGCGGCTGTTTGTGGGGACGCTGCTGCGCGCAATTGGCTGCCGCGTTTCGCCCACAAAATATACGGTCAATTCACTTTGCAGTATGCGCTGTGAAGCGCTTTGAGACGTCTCGAAGACGTGATAAGGCGCTATATCAAATGCAAGGATTATTATTGTTTGATGCATTTTCACCCACGCTTTATTGAATCAAAAAAACACTTTCAGCTGTAATGAGACCCTGAGTGCAGCCTCGGATGAGTGCATCAGTGTTTAATGTCCATTTGCCCACAATCATACATACATTTGCACAATCATTAGCAATTGATTTGGGTAAGATGCAATATTCGCATCATTTCTCACCCTCAACCCCCACCCCCTTTTTAGAGTTCATTCACCTTCAAGCTATTTTTGCAGCTCTCCTGCCTGTGACAAAGTAAAGGATTCATGCAAAAGATCCCGTTTCTAAAATAACACAATGCTTGAGTAACATCAAAAACCATCCATTTCATTGGGAAAAAAAAGCAGGGACTGAAACTTTAGTATAATAACAGCCAGCAGTTCCAAAATGAAAGACTGTCATTTTACTGGCAATGATAGGTTTCTATACAATCCCTTAGCTGTGTTACTAATAAAGCTCTAATTAAGATTTTGTTCTCAGTTTTGACTTGACCCACTTGCTATAAAACACACATTGTTTGGTTTCCAGACAGTAACTGTGATTGTATTGGGCTATGATATTGGAAAGTGAGCAGTTCTTGAGTATTTAATAATAATGATAATCCTTGCATTTGATATCGCGCCTTATCACATCTTTGAGACATCTCAAAGTGCTTCACTGTAAAGAATCTACCATAAAGTGAATTGACTGTATATTTTGTGGGCGAAACGCGGTGGGCGAAATTGCGCCCAGCAGTATCCCACAGCCTGTCATGGATTGAGTGACCAATTTTTTNAAAGAAATTATTACCCCTGGAAAAGTGATCCACCAATCGACTAACAACCGGGTTCCTACTTACTGCTGGGTAAACAGAGACGTGTGGAGTAAGGAAACTTGGCCAACATTTTGCCCTGCCGGGAATCAAACCTAGGTCTCTCGCTTGCGTGGCAAGTGCTCTAACCACTGAGCTACAGGACATTTAATAAATGATTGAAGTGATCAGGCTGATTTAATGTCTTAGGTTACTGTACCTGCAAAAACAAGCAGCAGTAGCCAACAATCCTTACATTTGATGCAGTACCTTTCACGTCAGGAAGAAATCTATGTTTCAACAATGCTTTAGCATTCCTTATTTACATAACTCATTGCTCATTTTTTCTGACATTCTGCTGCAGTACCCATTAGAGACTGACAAAAANGTAAGACAGTATAGAAATCTGGTGGGTAATTCTCTTGAGATACATGGTCAGGTCAATAGAGGCATTGCTCAGTAAAGTAATACGTCAGTCCTCTGAGTGAATCCTGCAGGGAAATGAATGGTGCAGTGATAGGAGAATACACCTTTGCATGTCGAGAAGTATGTAGGTTCGGAGTCTCTCCAAGAATGATACATTATACCTTTTTCATGGCACCATTAACTGGAAAGAATTTGTGAATTTGTGCCAAAATTGACGCAGAAATTCAAGTCCAGGCTGAATTTTAGAAGCAGCTCGGGTCAGATTTTTCCATTCATGCCAGACACTGGCACCTTCTCCCGTTTACTAAGATGGGCAAGTTTCCTTACTCCACACCTGATAGTCATCCCTCAAGAAAAAAGTAACAATAATAAATTGTTCACTTTAATCCACGAGTTTGTGGGACACTGCTGTGCGCAATTGACTGCCGCATTTCGCCCACAAATATATAGTTACAGTATATTCTGTGAAGCGCTTTGAGGCGTCTAGAAGACGTGAAAAGCGCTATATCAAATGCAAGGATTATTATTATTGTTAGGTTCAAGCAAACAGGCCGGGAACTGAGCTCACAGTCTTAAACAGTGGTGGTCAGCGTTTATGTCAGCCAACAAAATAAACTGATGCCATAAATCAATAATTATTCAATCAATAAAAAACTGAAAACACATTACTGATCGAAAATGGACTTAACTAGACTCATGCAAATGTTCGGGGCACCGATTCTTGACAGAGGCGTGGGCCACTTCCAGTCTGCAGGCCACAGGTTGGCCACCATTGGTCTAGACTAATGCACCAGTGTGATACTGATGGTGCTATACATTATCAGAGATGTCATTCTTTGGAGGAGTCGTTAAACCGAGGGCCCATCTACCTCAGGAGAAAGTTTAAAGATCTCATCACACTGTTGCTCGGGTGATAAGCAAGGAATGGTAAGAAATTTGTAGCGTTTCTGATTCCAGATAACACCTTCCAAAAAGCTGTCTGAAGCTTCAACTTTGCCTCATCATCTATCTGAGTGGTGTACAATAATAATAATAATCCTTGCATTTGCTGTAGCATCTTTCATGTTGGGGGGACGACTCAAAGTGCTTCACAAGAATTACTGTGAAATGGAACGACTGTGTATCAGTAAGTTAACGTGGCAGCCCTTTGACACATAGCAATGTCCTGCAAACAGCCATGAAATTAATTATAGTTGGGTGTATGCGGAGCTCCTGCCAGGTAGGAGGCTACCTCTCTGGATGGATGTTGACCTTGAGCGGCATGAAAGCAAAGGGTGAAATATTGATGTGACTGGTTATGATATTGGAACAATTCCTCAAGTCCCGTTTTGATTGCAGTATGCTGCAAACTACACCAATGAAACATTTAATATTGATTTTATATCCCATTGTTGGAGTGACAGTGAAATGGAGGGTTGACAGTTGAGCTTCATTCTTTAGTGCAGCCACAATTCTTACATTTAGAAACTCTGGTGGTACTGTTTTCCTATTGTACCTATGGCACTATTGCGGAAGTAGTGTGATGTTGTGCAATATAAAAACGTTATTGGAGGCCGATAGATGCACCTGAATATCAGATGGTTTTATACCCAGTCCTTTTTTCTAGTTCTGTTACCGGTTAATAGGCAGGTACCTTTAATAGATTGGGGGAAAGTACCTCCAAAGCGCTGCAGATGTGTATGACATACATTCTGCTTGCCAGACTTCCCAACTCTTCCCTCCACAATCTGTAGAACATCCAGAGCTTTGCAGCTTGTGTCCTCTACCGCACCAGGCTTCGCCTACCATACCTATCCTCACCCAGCTCCACTGGTTCCTTACTTCCAAGGATGGTGAGTTAAAGATCCTCGTCCTCTAAGGATTCTAATAGATGTTAACTTTCCACTTTTTTTTATCTCACTTCAAACAATAAAAGGCCAATGCATATGAAATATGTCAGCAAACACTTTTTCTTTATCTATCAGAGCTTCTTAGCATGATCTCAGATGAGGTTCCTGAAGCTGTTGGCTGAAATCTGGGCTACATACTATGAGGTGGATTTGTACTGTAAAGGAACTGAGTTGCTGGGAGGAAGGGAAGGCTCCAGTCTATAGCAATCTGTTCCTTTGCATTTGAAGGATTAAGGCAGCAGAATTAAGCAGGATGCCTCAGAGGCCTGTACTAGGACCTCTCCTGTTCCTTATACACGTTAGTGACCTGGATTTGTAGACTCAGTACAAGGTACTATAGTTACATTTTTGTATGATACCAAGTTGGGGGGAACTATGGATTTAGAGGAGCTTAATAGGAGATGCACATTGGCTGATATCTGCATTCAGTGATTTCAAGTCAGATATTAAACACAAACTGCTGAAATATCCTTCTCACGGTGTATGATGCTGTGTGAAATCCTTAATTAGAAATGTTCTCCTTGTGTTTACTGTCTTATCTGATTGCCTCTTGAATTTGCTGACAAAATCTGCCTTAGGCTGTCTAGCCTATGTATTAATCACTCTCAGTATAAAGTAATTAAGTGTAAACTGTACTGTAGAAAGGGCAGGGTCCAGAAATTAACTCAACACAAGAGGCAAGTGGCAGGTTCCATGTTGGGAGTTAGGAACAGTAGAGAGATGTACAGGATGCATTAGAGTGAGTGTAAAAAGGGCAGATATCAAATGGTCTTTTTTATCTCTCTCCAGGTGGATCTCAAGCGAACCTTTACATTCCGGAATTCCAAGCAGACTTTCACTGGAATCCCCATCATAGCGGCAAACATGGATACAGTCGGGACATTTGAAATGGCCCAGGTTTTGAGTAAAGTGGGTAATACCAATTATATCAAATTTTACCTTACCCTCTGGAACTCGCTCCCTCTACTGCTGCCATAATAATATTATTATTATTATTATCTCGCCCCTCTCTCTATCTGACTTTCCAAGCCGACCATTAAAACCTACCTTTTCAAATGCGCATATGACCCTTGGCCCCCTATCCCTTGCTTTACGTCCCCAACACCACGCCCCCCCCCCCAAGTGTATGATACAAAGATTTACAAAGAATATACGAAATGGACACAGGCCATTTGGTCCAAACCAGTCCACAGCAGTGTTTACATGAGTTTTCACCCATTCTTTATCCCCTCCCATTTCCTTCTATTCCCTTCTCCCTCATTAATCTCTCAAATACCATTGTAAAAATTGTGCACCTATCTAAGAAAAGCTGCATTGCAGCGCCACACTGGATTTTACAGTGAGGCACTACTTGTGTGCATTCTTTTGCCAACCTCAGGTATTAGCTTCAAAATCCTTTGCTTTGAGTCAGTGCTTATTTGTGCCCTGTGGGAATCACTTTTCTGTACATGGCTTACCGCAGTGTTCTGATGTACTGCATTGCTCTGATCTTGGGTTTAATCTGCGGGAGAAACATTTCAGAATAATTCATCAGAACCTTGTTGCTATGCAAAGGGATTAAAGTGTTCATCTCAGTAGAGATAGTACATTGAAGTTGACTTGAGATAGAAATTGATAACGATTGATGAGGGAGGGAAGGGGGAGAGAGAATTAAAGCTTTTTTTCTATATTGCAAATGAGCAGAGAAACAGTCATTTTTGATCAGCTGGATGTCTGACACATGCGGAAACCCAACTCCATGCTTAAGAGTATCCAAACCAGACTGAGAGTTCCACATAAGCCTTTATATTTTTGTTTGTCTGGAATGGTGTGCGTACTCTCATCCCAGAGGGACACACCCTGCTCATCTAATTCCAGAAAGCATTAGATATAGTTTCTCAAGAACCAATGCTTGGGGTCCCCAGAGTTTGTGCTGGAGTTCTAGTGGAGACTGGGATCACTGACCATGAAGCTTGGCCAGTTAGGGCAAACTTACCCAGTAGGGCTTTGGCTTGTGGTCTTAACAGAGGTTCAGTGGGAAGAATCCCAATGTAGGTCTCTCTCGTTGTGTTGCTGCTGAAATTGCACGTGAGACGGTTTTCAAATGGTAAATATATGAAGTGAGGGAAGTGAGGAGAGGGAATCTTTCCTCATTCATGGTTTTAAGAATGTTTTCAAACCCAAACATTACTAGCATTAGTAAACACACATGGCACAGTTTTATGTAGCAGACATGGAACAAGAAAAATCTACTTAGCCCATTACCCACATCTTCCACAGCCAAACAAAACAAAACCTGTCAAAAATCTCTTCACCCTATCAATTAAGGTTTGTATTATCAACGTTTGGGAAGGGTTGCAGATTGGGTTAGCCATTGAGCGTGTGGGAGGGAGTGAAGAGTGTTTGAAGACTCATGCAGAGACCCGCATATAAAAATGATACTGACTTGTTGAGCTGAATGGCCTATTTGCATTCTATACAAAAATAAACAAAAAGTGCAATGGGGGAATTACAGGTGTCCACATTCTGCACTATACAAACAAGGGTTTCAAATACCTATAAAGTTGCGCAACCTAAACATTTTGCACATATATTGTTAACCCAACCACAAATTATACCCTCTACTCATGCAAACAGTACACTTAGCTCATTGAGATGATTACATGCAGATTTAGTCTTAACCAAGAGTACTGGAGTGAGTCAGGCTGGAATTCCAACCTACACTGAATAAAGGCAAGACTCCCACCCGGCTGAGAAAGTGCTTATGGCACTTTCCCTCAGCTCACAAACTACTCCGTAAGTGACATACACCCAACTGAGGTATGGTTCCTATACATGGTTGGTAATTTCATTTAGTTTGGTCTGTCTGTAGAAAGAGTCACACGCAAGATTTAAATAATATAATAATCCTTGCATTTGTACGCCTTTTCATGTCACATCTCAAAGCGCTTCAGAGGATTTTACTCTAAAGTGTAGTGGCTGTGAATTTACAGCTGTGAATTTCTGTGCTACCAACTGAGCCCAATTAACATCTGATATGAACAACAACAACAACAACAAGATTCCATTTATTGAGCGCCTTTCACGTCGGGAGGACGTCCCAAGGCGATGAAGGAAGGCCACTGAACAAACCTCAAGCCAACATCGCAAAAGTGACAAGCCCTTTAGTGTAAACATAACCAATAGCTGCAGAAAGGGTGACCCTTTAAATCTAACAAGGACAGCACTTGCAATCTTCATATTGAGACTCTGAAGATGCGAGTACTGCAAAAGTGTTCTTAATCAATATCACTATATATCGCCGATAAGGTTTACTGTCAATTCACTTTATTATTATTATATCCATAAGAACAGCATACCAACTGAGTTATATGGACTAAGATGTACTATTTATGTAGCATTTCAGACTGCAGAATTTGGCAAATTGTGGAATTCAGTTTTAATTTTGAAATCCCTCTTTGATAATAATCCCTCAAAAAAAATTGGTCACTTCAATCCACGACTGTTTGTGGGACACTGGTGTGCGCAATTGGCTATTCACTTAACAGTATATTCTGTGAAGCCCTTTGAGATGTCTAGAGGACGTGAAAAGCTCTATATTAAATGTAAGGATTATTATATTATAATGCCAGAGTTCCTACTCTCAGTATTGTAGGCTGCCCACAAACAATAGTCCTTTGGTCTTACTCCCCACCTCTAGGCAATGCATGGTATGATTTTCCTCAAAGGGTTGCTGATGATTTTTCCCTATCACGTTTGAACGGTTCCGTCCTATTGCTTGTCCCTCCTATGCAGCAAGCACTCTAATAACATTAAGAATTCCTCATAATATTTCTGAATAGATTTTTAGTGCACATGAAATATTAATAATGTAGAGTGTATTAGACATGGAACTTCTCAGTAATTGACTGCAGTTTACCTATCTCTCAGGAGACCTGCAATTACGTCATCCTATCCTAAATCCTCTTGCATGAATGCTGCCATTGATCAGCAGGAGACAATGCAGGGTTAGTTTGCCCTGTCAGCACAAACACATACCAATACAAAATAACATTCCTTCAACAGGTTTAGAAATCCTCACGTTTATATTTGGAACAACATGAGCTCTTTGGTGCATGTAGTACCAGTGATAAGCAATGTGTAGGCGCAGGAGGAATGTCATGAGTAACACGATGGAAAGAAAAAGCAGCGAGGCTCTTGTTAAGTAAGACAATTCATATTTTTTACTGATTTGTCTTTACAAAGCAGCCATTTTGTTTTCTCATTGAAGTACATGCACGTTGTCAGTCTGCCGCAGTGATAGCACCTCTTGCCTCTGAGTCAGAAGGTTGTGGGTTCAAACTCCATGTCGGGACTTGGAATCACAAAGTCGAAGCTGACATTCCAATGCTGGAGAGGGTGAGGGAGTTGCATTGTCAGAGGTGCCATTCTTTGGATGAAACGTTAACCCGATTTCCGGCTGCCTGTTCAGGTGGATGTTAAAGATCCAATGGCACTCTTTGAAAAGAGAAGAGAGTTTCTCCCGGTGTCTGGGCAATAAATCTTCCAAATAAAATTGGTCACTCACTGCATGGCTGTTTGTGGGACATTGCTATGTGCAAACTGGCTGATGTGATTTGCCTACAAAATACACAGTCAATCCACTTTACAGTATATCCTGTGAAGCGCTTTTAGATGTCTCGATGACATGATAAGGTGCTTCATCGAATACAAAGATTATTATTAATGTAAAATCGTAACAGAATACTGCTTTAAACAAACGTACCCAGTGTTGATTTGCCTGTTGAGGGAAGCAGTTTTCTTCACCATTCCCAATATTCTGAAACATATATAGAGACATGTGAATTTGGAAATTATAGACCTGTGCTGAACTGTTATCTGTAATGATTGAAGAATTGGAGAGCATCATCAATGCTTATAGGAGAAGTACAGAGAAAAAGAGAACTTGCTTTTTTTCAATTTGTAGTGTACAATTATTTTTAAAATGTTCTACCCATATGTCTCTGTTCCTGGACCCCAGCCATCTCTTGTTGGAGTATGGTTCCATGGGATTGGTTGCCCTCTAATTCCCTTCCCAAGGAGACATTTTTGATATGTGAGTTTTGGCAGTGAGTTAAAGACTGATCTCTCCTCACACACCTGCTCCAACCCTGTATACACACACACCACACACAAACACATACACACACAACACACACAGTAAAAGCTGCTGAAGAGAGATCAGGTCCAGGAAACCCAATTGATTGTACTCTCCTAACCCTGGGAAGGTCAAAGCCAGTTTAGACAGCAAACTTAGAATGGACTGAATCAGGATCCAAACCAGTGAACTGCAGTTCTACATCATTGTACTTACCTCATCGAGTGCTATGATTTGTTTTTTGTCAGCTGGGTTTCTGACACATGCGGAAACCCATTACCATAAAAAATATCCAAACCAAGCTGAGATTTCCATGCAACCCATTTATACATGGAAATTCAAGAGGTAGATTGTTGGAATGGAATGCACACTCTCTCCCTGGAGGGATGCATGCTGCCTCCCTAATTCCGGAAAGTGTTAGGCACAAGTTGGCAAAAGCCAAGGCTTGGAGACCCCAGAGTTGGGGTACTGCTGGAGTTGCTGTGAGTTGATCCAAGCTGAAGAATTCAAAGGTAATAGGAGACGTTAACATTTTTTTTCAATGTCAGGCTGGACAATGATGACTGCATTTATAAATAAAAGCATCCAGTAATTCTCAGTTTTCTCTTTTTCAGCATGCGATGTTTACTGCTATTCATAAACATTATGCTCTGGAAGACTGGAAGAAGTTTGCAGCTTCCCATCCCGAATGTCTGGAGGTATTTGTTTGGGAATGGCTCTGGGATATTTAGGACAGTGCCATTTATTGTTTCAGCACAATGACTGGCAAAATGAAAACACACGTTGGGGTGGAAATTGCGAGGTGTGTTGTGATAGTTTTCATATTGTTGATCAAGGTGGACTAGATCAGTCAATAATTATAATAATCATGACCCTTACATTTTCTTTAGCGCTTTATATCGTTAAGACATCTCTAAGTGGTATAAATTCTGAAGTGGTATGAATGTGTTTTGTAGGGAAACACTGCAACCAATTTGCACACAACGATGTCCCACAAACAGCCATGGTTTGAATTTATTTGGGGATTTGTTGGCCAGGTCACCAGAGAAAATCCTTTTTCTTTTTGAATAGTGCCATGGGAACTTTAACCCCCACCTGACCGACCACAGCCTTCGGTTTAATGTCTCAGCCAAAGGATGACACTCCGACCAATACATCACCCCAAGCTCTGCATTGGAATGTCAGCAAGTCCTGAAGTGGGGCCCAAACCTACCACCTTCTTCTGACTCAGAGGCGAGAGTGCTGCCTCCAAACCAGGCTGACACACTTGACGCCCCCACCGCAGTAGTTGGGACTCAAGCCAGTTCACAACCATCGCTGGAGCTGCTGTCCCGTTTGACTGACATTTGAGTGCAATTTATGGGATAGCTGCTACCTCGGTTAGTTTTGTTAAACTTGGGAGGCTGCACTCAAATGCTGTAAGTGCCAGGTTCAGTGAGGGGGGCTGGGGGGTGGGGGGCGGTGCGCGGTGGTTGGTGCGGAGAGGGTGAGAAGGCTTTGGGCCCACCCAATTGTGATAAAGTTTAAAATTGAGACTTGGATAGAGATGGAAGTTTTGACAATAATAACACCAATGAGAATTATTTGTCCGTGAAACTCAGCCCAAATTGACATAGCCAGGAGAAAACTGAGAGTAAAACAGGTCTTGTTTTGAGTTTGATCAAGAAAAGTATTTTTTTGTTTTGGCTGATCAAAAAAAAAAAAAGAATGCAGATTAATTTGTACTTTTTCAGAATTTTTATGCCATGAACAACAGAAATAATGTAATGTTTCTTTCTCTCTCTGTCTCCTCTCCCCATGACTTGTTGTTTTTCTGTCTTCAGCACATAGCTGTGAGCTCAGGCACTGCCCAGGCAGACTTGGACAAGCTTTGCACTATTCTGGAAACAATTCCACCCATCAAGTACATCTGCCTGGATGTTGCAAATGGTTACTCGGAATACTTCGTGGAATCTGTCAAAACTGTCCGGGCCAAGTTCCCTGATCATACAATTATGGCAAGTATCTCACCATTCACAGAGTATTATGATAAAACATTCTTTCAAATCTACTGCACTATGGAATAATAACATCCTTGCATTTGATATAGCGCCTTATCACATCGTTGAGACATCTCAATGCGCTTCACAGAATATACTATAAAGTGAATTGACTGTATTCCCACAGTGTTCCTTAAACAGTTGTGGATTGAATAAACCATCTTTGTATTAAATCACCATTAGAATATCACAAGATGGATTTGATGGATAAAGAGGCTTTTCAGTCCATCCTTCCTGAATACCCACCATACTAATTTCCCATTACAGCATCAAGCTGTTTCTTTAATGAGTTCAGTATCCTGGCCTCAACTACCTTTTGGGTAACATGTTGATTGCCTTCTCAGTAAAGATGTTTTTCTTGGTGTCTGTTATGAAATTGTCTGCATAGCCTTGGACCTTTGCTCCCCTGTCCTGCTGCTTTGGTGTATCTTCAAATATTGTTCTGGGTTTACTGTGTCACGATTGATTGTCCAAGGCTGTTGCACAGAGTGGTAAACTCTGCACAAAGTGAATAAAAAAAATAATAATCCATACACTTGTGCCTTTCAAATCAGGAGGATGTCTCAAAGTGATTCAGATTTACTGTAAAATGGAGTGGCTCTATTCTGTAAGTGACCTTGACAGCCATTTTGCACACAGCTATTAGAGGAAGGAGCCAAGTTAAGATGTTTCCACACAGGAGACAGAGTCCCCAGAGGAACAGCAGTAGGATGCATAACCTTGCGATTGGAGACGGTTTAAGGTGACTACCCTGGATAAAGACAGATTGCGTGAGAAAAGTGTTAGCAAAAGTGCATTAGATAGCTATTTGGCAAGGAAATTCAGGTAATAGTAGTGCATGAGTTCTTGTTTAACTTTGGGACTGGCCCGATGGTCTTTTCCAATCTTTTAGGTTATGATTTAACTCGGATTATTCCCTGACAAAACACTGAATTTTGTGAAGAAATCACTCCCCTCCTCTGTATTTCAATGTTTTCCTATTCATTTTCTTCCTCCTAAGCCAAACCCTGGACCCATGAAAATAACAGAAATAGAATAAATTAGACCCAGGGGAATTTCTACTTCACAGACTGAACATTTTTTAAAAAGATCAAATGTTCAATTCTCCCTTTCAGGATCTGTGTGCTTCAGGTCCTATATCATTCAGCTGGAGCTGGATTTGGGTCTGGGTGCCAACACTCAGTAATCTGGTTTGGCGTGCGTGCTTAGATGCATCACAGAAGCCTCTTTTGCAGGATAGGTTGGGAGGCAGGGTGGGAGACCATAGCATGGCCGTCCAATAGACCAGAGGCCTCTGCGATGCATTTGAGAATGTGCCAACCTCTGCCGAGTGCACACACCAGTCACAGGAGGCCTCTGCAATGCAAGACGCCATTTTTCGGGACTAGTTATCCGATCAATTTTACATTGTAAGTACTTACAAGGATTTCTAGAATGCGACTAGTTACATGTTAAGTGGAGCGACAAGTAAAGTGGAGTCCATTATTATTTTGCATGGGAAGCAGCCGGGATATTGATAGCATGGCTACTGAAGGGATAGTGACTAGCTAAACCAGTGTCTTGTTAACAGGAATTTACTGTGTATTGTTATTCTATCACTATGTCTATATATGTCTAAGTCCAGGAAAACATGAGGCTAGAGTCTGAACTGCAGCAGAGCTTATTTATTACAGTTGTACCGTAAAAATTGGTGAAAAGTTGTCTTCTTTGCCAGTTGGAAATAGTTTGAGGATTTACCATCTCTCTTATGGATCGTACCCTAAAGTACAATCAGTGCTCAGCCCCACATCTCCTTGAGACATCTTGATAACCACATTTGGCATTAAGCCACAATACACACATTCAATTTCCATTGCAAAAGAAGATGAAAACTCTCCATTGTCATCTAACCGATATACACAGTACACTTCGCTATAGGTCCAATACTTCAATCAGATGGAGTGTCGCAGTGAGACATTGCTCACTCTGTCAAGTTTTCTGCTGAAGTAAGTCCTACAGACAGAGATCGACTTCACAGTGAATTAATGAAATGCTTGCACCACTGCTTTTATTGCCTTGATGATTTATACTAGTGTTCTTTGGGCATAGCGTCACCAAATACACTGAGACCCGTACTCAGGAGTACGTTTGCTGCATCTCTGAGCCAGTTTCCCTACAGACAGTTTGATGGTGAGCAGGGGGGGCTTCAAGGTTCAACCCTAATTGGCTGCCTCCTCACAAGAGTTCTTACGTTGCTCATCCTGATGTGTAGACTGTTTTCCAATGGCTTTGTTATTGTGTCTTACAAAATAATTCTTTTTGTTTTTTCAAACCCAAGGCTGGCAATGTGGTGACCGGGGAGATGGTGGAAGAGCTCATTCTCTCGGGAGCCGACATCATTAAAGTTGGCATTGGCCCAGGTAAATGAATAAGCAAGAAGACCTTTAGGGTATGCAGAGCCATGGGATATGCAGAGCTCCAGCCTCCTCTATGTTGCTCTTTCTGTGCCATACAGTATTAATCTATTACAAAGTACTCCAGCACATCAGTGTGGTAATTGAAACAATTGTTTTAAATTGCTCTGATACCCCTTCCACCTTACTATCTTAACTGTGGAGGCAACTATTAATGTACAAAGACCCCCTTTCATGGCTCTGGAAGTAACCTTCAGAGCCAGATCAGCTGTCTGTGCCTGAGCGAGTGCTGAAATAAAACCGTCTATCTGCTGACAAACAGCTGATCAATGGGACCGTCAGACTGAACCTTTGGGACTTCTTATTTGTAGACTCCAGATCACTACATCTAAAATAATAATAAATCCTTGCATTTGATATTGTGCTGTATCACATCTTTGACACATCTCAAAGTGCTTCATGGGATTTACTGTAGAGTGTAGTGACCATGTACTTTGTAGGCAAACCGCCACCTAATTTACACACAGCCATGTCCCACAATGGCCATAAAGTGAATGATCAATTTTATCAGGGAGTTAATTGGCCAAGACACTGGGAGAAACTCCTTTCCCTTTTCAATTAGTGCCATAGGATCATTAGAGTCCACCTGAATAGGCAGACAGGGTCTCGGTTTAACATCTCATCCGACAATGTATCGCTCCCCCAGCACCACACTGAATTGTCAGTCTAGACTATGAACTTAAAGACCTAATGCGGGACTTGAACCCACAACCTTTTGAGGTGAGAGTGTGAGCCAGGCTGTCACCTGATATATGAAGTACATTATTAATGGTTCAATGGACAAACACATACGCTACTGATCAGTCAAAATCAGTAACGTCACACGTTTGATTCACGGTCAATGCTGAATTAGCTGCTCTTTACGCTGCAGTAGGATTCAGTGGACACCAGTCACAATCTGATACCTCCCCAAATGGCCATTTTTTATGTGTGAGCTAGACAATGGAGTACAGTTTGAACATTTATCGATAACTGGAGTTAATAGAGGAAATATCACAAGGAAAGTACTAATATCACTAAGCACTGCACAGAATGTGAGATTTTTTGCTCATGTAGCAAAATTATTTGACCAAATAGAAATTTATCCTTCATCAATGCTCATTGGGAGGCTACAATAAGATTTAACAGACTTTCATTGTGCAGGTGTTTCAGGGCATTGATACAGATGTTTCAGAGCATTTTACAGGTCAGCCCCATCATAACTCGCTTCACTGGAGTGAGAATTCATTTATAACACAGTTGCGTTGAGGACCCATTCATTGTATGAGCAAGTAGCTGGCCTGCTTGCTCCCACATGCCAGACAGCTTTAGCACTCTAGTGACTGGCTTCTGTGTCATTAGGTTGCTATTGATGTCACTTCCTGTGTTGCTACGCATGCGCGAAGCCACTTTTTCTTTCAAAAGAAAAATGATGTCTAGGTTATTGTCTCAGACCTAATGTAGAGAGTGAGTTGGCCGGTTGTGCTCATATGAGTAGTGTGCTAGTAAAACCTGCTAGAATTTCTGGATTCCAAACACTGTGATAATAGCTGCACTATATGTGGGTTTAGAAAGAATTGTTACCTAATGCTTTGAGATGGCTTCCCGAAGTGAAAGGCACTATGCAAATGTAAATTGCATTGTGTTGTACATAGCAATGGGTTTCTTCCGAAAAAGACCAACAAGAGAAGTGTGTTTAGATTCTGTGACAATACTGAAACATCATAAAAAAAGACAAACATAAGCTGTAACATTACATCGATTGGCTTGAGAGCAACAATTTGTGAAACTGTACAGTATGTCATTAAAATGTATTTCCAGATAGGTATTCATTAATACAGAAGGTGTCATGTCACAGACTAACGTAAGATGTGCAGATGTTAAGAATAGGTTCAGGGTGATACAATTGTAACCATAGTGACAGTACAGTAAAGCAGATCCAAGGCAATTGCAATTCTAATAATACATATAGCATCTTGCAATAATGAAGCCGGTGGCATATACAGAAAGGCACTCATAAAAAATCATATCATGGCCAAGTTCATGGGTCTGTTACATCCCAGCCAAGTTTAATGGTCTGTTAAGATTACATAAGATCCGGCAAGTGATTTTGTTACTGGTGATAATTATCACATCAACCCCCAAATGTGTTGGCGAACACAACCGATAGCTATCAGTGGCCGGAAGAAGGGAAACAGTCAACGCATGCACACATTTGGGTTTTACAAATTAAATTCAGGTGAACGTCATTTTTAAACAATTGACTTTTGAACAAAATTGGTAAATACTGAAATTGACAATGGTCCTTCTGTGTTTGCAAAGGGCAATGAAGTTGGGATAACTGTGGAAAGGGTGGTCATGTTACCAGCTACACTGCAGTCATTTCTCCAGTAAATAGAATGACATTCACTTTGCAGAGAAATATTGGAAAGTGACTGCGCGTGTCAGCAACATCTTATCTGCATTCTCACATGCTTATGTGCTCACTCCCACACGGACTTTCAGATGAAAAATCAACCTTATGAGGAGGAATTTGCACGCAATGCTTCAGGTTGTCAGAATAGCACCAAGGAAATTATTTCTGCAGAACGGTTTTGTGTTGCGTTTTGCAACGTGAAAAATGCAATGAACATAATGCCAGGACGCCAGAATAACCTCCCTTCTCTTTTGAACCCACAGCCTTCTGATAAGAGTGCTATTCACTGAGCCAGGTTGTGGCATTAAATCCACCTGGTCCAGTTTTACTCTATTTATATAGCATTTAGAACGTTATTACTGAATTATTGAATTCAGTCTTAAGTGAAACTCGATTTAAATTGAATTGAAATCTGTCTGTCCATATGGATGTTAAAAGATTCTATGGCACTATTCAAAATGGGAAGGGAGTTTCTCTCAGTGTCTTGACCAACAAATCCCCCAAATAAAATTGTTCCCTCACTCCATCGCTGTTTGCAAGACATTGCAATGCCGAAATTGGCTGATATGTTCCCCCACAAAATACACAGTCACACCATTTTACAGTATATCATCTGAAATGCTTTGAGATGTATGGGGACCCGATAAGGGATAATTATATATTAATACAGTAAACCTCACATAAATGATATGAGTTGGGGCAATACATTTAATATGACTTGTGCAAATAATGAGTATGTCAAACTTGTATACAATATAAACTCTTGAATGGGACTTGGGTAGATGAACGACTTAGGTAATTATACGATTTATATCACTATATATCAAATGCAGGGGTGATGATGATCATTATTTATTATTATTAACTTGAAGCTGTATTTCTATAGTTCTTAAAATAATTTACAGAAAAACAACTTCAAAATTAAGGCTGTTCAAAATACTCTTGCAGCACCTCTCTTCGTGTTGTTCTCCTCGATGTCTCTCACAAGGTTGCACATGGCACGAAGCAGTGCCGAGACTGATGGGAGGAGGGGAGGAGCGGCAGGTAAAACAATTAAGTCAGAAATGGTTCTCGGGACAGAACAAATCATAATCATAATAATCCTTGCATTTGATATAGCGCCTTATCACACCTTCAAGATGTCTCAAAGCTCTTCACAGCATATACAGTAAAGTGAATTGACTGTATATTTTGTGGGCAAAATGTGGCAGTCAATTGCGCACAGCAGTGTCCCACAAACAGTCGTGGATTGAGTGACTAAATCATTTATCTTTTTTAAGGGATTATTACCCCCGGAAAAGCGATCCGCCAATCGACTAACAACCGGATTCCTATTTACTGCTAGGTGAACAGAGGCGTGTGGAGTAAGGAGACTTGCCCAATGTTTCACCCTACCGGGAATCGAACCCAGGTCCTCTTGCTTGTGAGGCGAGTGCTCTAACCACTGAGCAACAGGACTCATCCCCCAGGGTGATGTGGCCGCTGGCTGCCAGCTGAACCACCCCGCCTTAAACCTATCATTGGATCGGCTCGGGGCACTGTGCAATTGAACATGTAGAATGGTCCTTACACTGCCCCTGGTCCTGGCCAACAATCTCCTAGATAAGAAATTGGTCACAGCTGTTTGTGGGAGGTTACTGTGAACAAAACTTGCTGCTGTATTCGCCAAGTAAACACAGTCTTTACATTTTATGGGAACTTTGTGAAGCCCTATAGATATTTTGACATGATAAGGCACTGTAACAAATGCATTATTATACATAATGTCTTAAATATTGCATAACATTATTTAAACATAAAATAGTAATGGACCTTGCTGTTACATACTAGATAAACTTCTACGCCATCAAAACAGCCTTTTTTCTATTTTTTTATATAAAGCTTAATTTATTCTGTATATAGAAGGCTGCAGGTTTGATCCTCAGGCTGTGCTGAGTTTACTGATTGCAGCAAACCATTCGTCCTCCTGGGTAATGAAGGGGAAACTAACCAGGAATGTGCTCATTGTTGCTCTCAAGTGATCACTGTGAGGGATTGAATGTGCAAGCAGCCCTCAGTGTGACTAAGGGATAAAAAAAAGGCATTTGGATGAGTTATTGGAGTGAGATCAACACCTGATACACTATACACTTATCATGTTTCTCCAAGTGTTCTGGCCATCAATTCCCCAAATTAACTGAGTTACTCAATCCATTTCTGTTTGTGGGATATTATTGTGTGCAAATTGACTGCCGTGTTCGCCCACAAAATACCCACAGTCACAGTGTATCCTATAAAGCTCTTTGAGACGCCTTGACAATGTTGATAAGGTGTTATATCAAATGCAGGGATTACTTATTAATGACGCAGCTTCGCATAAATCTAGTTACATATTGTATTTCTAACTCCCCCAGGTTCTGTGTGTACGACTCGGATTAAAACGGGAGTGGGCTATCCTCAGCTGAGTGCAGTGATCGAGTGTGCAGACTCCGCTCACGGGCTCAAAGGCCACATCATATCTGTGAGTGACTCCAAAACTTTCAGCTCATCTTCAGTCACAGTCAGTTCACTTAGAATGACAATCAGAGAGTTTACAGTAGAGTTGGAGGCCATTTAACCCATCGTGTCTCCCATGGTGCCAGCTCTAATTCCTCCAGTAGAGCTTTATACTCTCACCACATACCCACGTAACCTTAAATCAGATTTTTCTTAAGAGTTTATCAAATGCACTTTCAACTATCTTATTGGATTCAGCTTCAAGAGAAGACCTTTGATAAATTTCAACATTGAATGAGTTGAGCTTGATTTAATTTAATACAATACTGCACTGTATATGTGTTTATAAGGCCATATATATACAAATCCTTTTATGCCAGTGGAGTTGTAGAACAGCTTCCTTACGCAAAAATTATGCTGATTGGACACTCATTTTCTGCCATTGTGTGCCATTGAGTGTATCCTTGTTGTTAGTTTCATGAGATTTGCAGTCTGATAAGTCTATGTCTCACAGTCGCACTCTGTGATGTTTCACTTTACACTACAGCTGTATTTACATTGTGGCTCTGCAGCCTTGAAATGTGGCACTAAATCTGGAGATGTTGGGCACTTTGAGCATCCTGCACCTTGACATTGTCTTGGGACTTACGTAGAGCGATTGTGGTAACAGGGTATGTGCACAGCTTGACGTTATCCCCTTATTCTTGTGTGGCACATTGAATGTGACAATCAGCACAGGAGGTAAGCAGGATCTCCTTGGAGTTGAAGTGACGTGCTTGGCAATGGAATGTCGAAATCGAGTCAATCGTCTATGGTGGTCTTGGTTGTCCAGTTGCAGAGCCAGGCGGTCTGCAGTATTCAAGGACACTGCTGATGACAACTCAGCTAGTCTGGTTCATCGGCAGGGATTCTTCACACTCAGCTCCTGTTAACCCTGCAATAATAATAATAATAATCCTTGCATTTGATATAGCGCTTTTCACGTCGGGAGGACGTCCCAAAGCGTTTCACAGAACACACTGCAAAGTGAATTGACTGTATATTTGTGGGCGAACGCGGCAGCCAATTGCGCACAGCAATGTCCCACAAACAGTCATAGATTGAAAATGACCAATTTATTATTGTTTTTGGTTTTGGAGGGATTATTATTAGGCTCTGTGTGGAGTAAGGAAACTTGCCCAAGGTTTCACCCTGCCGGGAATTGAACTCGGGTCTCTCGCTTACAAAGCGAGTGCTCTAACCACTGAACTACAGGACTCCAAATGCAAGTCAAAGCTCTAATGAATAGGGCAGTCCTAGCTAGACAAGCAGTGGGAAAGTTTGCCAGACAGTGCTTTCAATGACAAACTATACGATTTTAACTTGTTAAACATCATCATTGTCCCAAAGCAGAATCTGGGCTTGGGTCTTGCCAACCTGCGCCTGATACTGTCTGGGATTGGGTAAGCATGAAGCATCCCTCCAGGGAGTAAGAGTGCATTCCATTCCAAACATAAGAATTTCCATGTGTGGGTGGCAAACATAGAAGTCTGTTTGGTTTAGATATTAGCATGGTGATGGATTGCCCTGTGTGTCAGACACCCAGCTGACCAAAAATTGGCACAAAAAATGCCACCAGTTTGAATCTTCAATTGGCTATGGGATAAACCATTTGCCTGAAGTCAGGGGTGGCCTGTGCACTCATAAACTGGGCATTAGGGAAAGATTTTAAGTCCAGACAGAGTTTATCACATCACATGTCTCATTTCACTCTTCTGTGTTCAAGGCTCACATCAGGGCTATAAGTTCATAGTCTACTCTGATACTCCAGTGAAGTGCTGGAGGAAGTGCTGCATTGTTGGAGATGTCATCCTTCAGCTAAGATATTAAACCAAGGTGCTGTCTGCCTGTTACAGTAGATGTGGCACCATTTGAAAAGAGAAGGGAGTTTCTTCCGGTGTCCTGGTCAGCAATCCCCTAGATTAAAAAATGCAGTCATTCATTCATTCATATGTTCATCCGACACTTTTCCGTTTCCCACACTTTTGCATCTGTACTTCAGGAGATAACAGAAGGTAGATGAAGTGAAAGTGTGGATGCTACTGCTATGAAGACGGCTTACGTTATTTTTCCATGAACAAGCAGTAACAGTAGCAGTGAATTTTTATGTTCATTGTGGATGGCATCAACTATTGCGGAAATCATCCAGTGCCAAAGGGGGTCCAGGTACTTTTACAGGTGGGAAAATTACATTATTTTGATGCTGTCCCTGGCAAACCTGTAGTGGAGAAGTGGGGTGAGATACAGATCTGATTGTAGCACTGTACTGGATTAACTTTGTGTTGCTACGTATCGCTCTGCTAGCTTCAACATCAACAGTTTGCATTCATGTAGCACCCTTTACCCGGGGTAGCATCTCAGAGCACTTAGCAATTATGTACTTTGATGGCAAGCCAAGGGGAAAGGGGAGATAACCATAGGCACGGTCAAAATCTCATTGAGACTTCAAGAGTTCTCATTGCTGGGCATGTGAGCCCCAGGATCCTGGTCATCTCAGTTGTTCCTTCCACATCAAAGCAGCTTGATACTACACAATGTGGAATAGGCTTTGTATGTAGAAACAGAATTCAGGTGTTACCCAACTTATTCAAAGGCGAAAGGGGTAAGACATCACTATCATGGCAATCGAGTAGCAGCTTTGTTGTGAACTGGCGGCTGCAACACTATAATTGGGATGCTCATTACAGTTGGTGAAGAGATAGATTACACACCTTCAGGTGACACAGTCAATAGTTGAGCCGAAGGTGCTCTCTGCAAAACTATGGCGGTCCAGGAACTCTTCTCTTTCAATTATAATGAAAGCATAGCCTTATTTTTCTTAAAGAACATCAGCTATTTACAGAGGCAAAAGAAAACAGACTGGGAAGACATTGAAGTCCAGAGGCAGAAAGATGACATGGAGTATACTTTCACTTGGGGAATTATAACTACATGAAGCATTCGCTATACTCTGAATATCACAAGTAACCTCAAATAAGAAACGGAAGGATTTAAAGTAATGCTCCCATTGTAATACTTTAACAGAAGACAAAATTATGAGACAAATTAGTAGTGTTTGGTAAAGGTATATTGGCTGTACATTAGGTATCTTCTAACACCACTCAATAGATGTTGTAAGAAAATAGTAACTTGTGTTCTTAAAGCACTATATCATACTGAAATATTTCAAAGCTTCACAGTAATTATTTTCAAGCCATTGCACAATAGCCATCAAGTGAATACCATACAATTTACATTTGTGTAATGGTTTTCATGTCAGGAGGACATCTCAAAGCACTTAGAAGTAAATGACTAATTTAACTGACAGATTTTTAGCCAGGTCACTGGGAGAAACGTTCGCCTTTCAAACAGTGTTATTGTACTATTACAAGAGGGAAATAGATTGCGAAACAGAGAAGACTGCAATGCTTATTGGGCTGGAGGAGCACTGAGTGGAGGGAGGAATTTGAGGAATTGTGGACAAAAAGCCAGGGGATGATCAGGGAAATCATAAATACTTTTCTAAATTAGCAAAATCCTAGAGTTCAGTGGCTGTCCAGGAGTACATACAGTACATGGCCTCTAGATGGCGATGTAGGATACCACATTTGAACCTTCAGTTTAAAACAGTAAAAAGACAATGTCGATCATCCACTCAATAAAAAGTATAGCAGATAAGACAGGCATTCAACAAGAAAATATTCACACTTTAAGAAGTTAAACTCTGTGATACAACGTTGAGGGTAATAATGTCAACCAACAAGAACAATACATACAATACCTAGACTTACAGCATGGGAACAAGCTATTTGACCCAACTAGTCCATGCTGGTGTTTATACACCACATGAGTCTCCACGACTAGCCCACAGCCCTCGATTCCCTTCTCGCTCATGAAAGTGCCAGGAATGTTTACTACTATGAATCTATGAGGAAAAAATGACAGTACATTTAACAGATTTGATCAATAAGGCGAGACCCAATGCAGCCTCCAACATAGAATCTATTTTTACAACTAAAATTTACATTTCGAGCCCTACTTCAGGAAACTAAATCCTGTATATAGGCAGCTTGCTGTAGTAGAATTGAGGACTGCTGGGATGCCAGAGAGTTCCAGAGAGTGGAGCAGATACACTGAGGCCCAACCACTAATGGTGGAGCAGGTGGGGGCGGGGGGATGGGACATGAAGCAGATCAGTGGAGGAAGAGAATGGGGAGAACACTTCGTGGCGACAGTGTTCTTCCTCTGCTAGATTGCAAGATTAATTGTTCTAACCACCTTGAGGTGGAATTGTGAACGCAAGAGAGTAATGGCTGGTATCAGGTAATGTACCAGGAGCAGATATAATAATAATAATAATAATACTTATTTTTGAAATAGATATGGCAAGAGATCGATAGGACCTTTCTTCAAATGGGATGTCATGGAAACTTTCACTTACTGTAGTGACTCTAGACACACATATATTCAGAAGATTAAAATAATTTTGATCGTTCAATTCATGCCAGTTTGTGGGACGTTGCTGTGCGCAAATATACCTGATGCGTTTGCCTACAGTATACACAGTCAATACATTTTACAGTGAATCATTTATATAATAATTCTTGCATTTGATATAGCGCCTTATCACATCTTCGAGGCATCTCAAAGCTCTTCACAGATATTGTAAAGTGAATTAACTGTATATTTTGTGGGCGAAAAATGAAGCACTTTGAAACACTATGAAGCACTCCTGATACAAAAGGTGCTATATCAAATATAATGATTATTTATTATTTCTGTACATTTGATTTGGCGTATATAAACATCAAAATGTCTCAAAGCATATCCCAGTAATTATTGTTAATTGTAATGACTGTGTGTTTTAGATAAATTTGCACCAGCAATCTCCCACAAACAGCCATGATATGATTGATCAATTTTATCTGGGAGAATATTGACCAGCACACCAGGGGAAATTCTCCTTTCCAATAGCGTCACAAAATCTTTAACATCCACCTGAACCTG